TCTTGAATAGCTCTGCAGTAATGTCTGGGCTGCCAACTTCACTCATAGTTCAACATATGGAGGTAGATGGATGGCGAAATCAGACAGACAGCACACAGCGAGCCAGAGATTCGTGAATGAAGTGAGAGTGCAGAGAGAATAGAGGTGCTCTAAAGATCGCAAAGTCTACCAGCCGCATCGGATTGATATTAGAGTATGAACCGGATAATACTTCCGGCGCGGATATCGGTTGTACGGATGATGGTGAGCTCTACCCGGCGTAGCGTAAGCAGTCTATCGGATATCTCCACTCAGGCGTCACGCCCGACTACATGCTCGCAGCAGTATCGAGATATCTCTGCGCATTTTCAACATTCAGAACATTAGAAACAGGAGTATATATGCGTGTCGTACCTGACTTAGTTGTGGTGAGGGCTATCGAGGCGCGAGTCTGCTGTCACAATTCCGATGTAGCAGTATCTAGGAACGAATCCGCAAAAAAATGTCTATCACAATTCCAAAGCGCGGTATTGACTTGGATGACTGGTGACTGTGGTGGGCGCAGATGAGCGCTGGATGCAAGATATCCGAATCGGATGATGCGGAATTTGGGCGGAACATCCGAAAGTTGGAAACTCCGCCCTCAGACTCCGCGCCAGGTTCCTGCACGTACGAGGTGGCGCCCACCTCGAGTATTCAGCAGAACGTCGGGCTGTCGATGGTCTGTCGACGCTGAGCGCATGCAGCCCGGATCCGGCCAAGAATGACCCCGGAATGGGTCACCATGGGCAAGTCAGTTCTTGAGGCGATTAGCGTGACTCCCGATTATGAGTGTGTCACGATCGTGACTGACCGCCATCCGACCGCACCTAAATCAGGCACTTCCCGCCGCCATCTGTACTGAACTTGAAGCGGCGGCTGCGAGGGAATAAGGATTATATGTCTGATCGTACTCGCACCCCTTTGATGTACCTGGCGGCTTGCAAGCACCATTCACAAGCTAATTATGTCTGTGACTGGCCACCATGGCAGCTGTGATCGGTGTAACGTCGGGCTCCGCTGGGCGGTATTTCCATTTCCCAAATGACCATTTCATGTTAATCCACTCTGATAGTAGGGTGAACACGGTCGCTACCTCTCTGATAATTTTGTAATCGAAAGTCAAGCTACATCGTGTTAGGGCACTGCTCATTTGTAGAATAAACGCCGTGAATCATGTTGACACACAGGTGATCTACATCCGCAATTTTGATTTCAGTTCAAACTGCAAAACAGCTCATCAAACCTTGCACTGCGTCGCATGACTTCTAACATCGAGAATGACACGTCGCAGGACAAAAAGCGCATGACAAGCAAGGTTGTTCAGGATGAATCCTGAATGTATGTGCGATGGACCCGTCAAGTCACTCCGCATCTTGACGTTCAATATCAGTTACATCCGCCAATCCTCTGTCATCCGAGAGTTCCGGATAAGCACGCCATGTTGCTTTATTTTCGACATTCTAAATTAACCATCGCATCATGAGCTGCCGACTTATGAGCGTACATGCCATTGCGGCGCTCACCGACATATCCATGACTCCCGCTCCATTTCTCGCAACCATCTTCTCGCATTCCGGTACCAAAATCTGTGCGAAGTTAGCGGAGATCCTGGGACTCAACAAAGAGTGGCACACCATATCATGCTGCACAATTTCCTTTTCCGACTTCCATTTCTGCATTCTATCGCTACTTTGCGCTGAGGAGGTAGGAGTGGACGCGCATGCGATGGATTGAGAAGTCAGCGCCGCAGTAGGTCGAGCTGGGGCACATCTATCAAAGGCGGAAAAGTCCAGTGAGAGTGGCCTCTGCAATTGAGATCGAATGAGTTCGCGATAGTTGAGCCTGCCAATCAGGAGTGTTAAATCACATGATAAATACAATAACATCAAGGACTACACGCACGATGCGACAAGCGAGATCAGGTAGTCTGTATAAAAATCACATAAGTGCAGAAATATCCGAGAAGCGTAAATCGTACAATTAGCGATTTGGATGTAGAAGGGGACATATAAAAGTGTCCTAGGGCTTGCGACGAACTACAATTTTTTTGAGTAACTACACCTCCGGACTCCAGAGAACTTACGGTAACAAGACATGTAAAGGACATGAGTCTACAGTTACAACTCGAGTTAGGAGAGCATCTTGAACAGCCAGCAAAAATACTAACGTAGGGATGAGAGCTGGAGATGACTCGGCATGTTAGTCCTGAATTATTCCATTATTCAAAGATTGAAGGGATGTACCCGTATTTATCGTATACAATATCAGCAAATTTATCAATGAATCCGTCCTATCGACGGCCGCTGTTAGGAATCGTCACAAACGGGAGCTGAATTTCCTACCTTCGCAACCCAGTGCGCGAACTATTCAAGCAGAGGCACAGCATAACGACAAGGACTATGTCCAGCAGTGTGCCAACGGAATATGTGATTTCATAAAACACCTATTGGCACGGCCGTATGCACCACTCGCCAAGCGTTGAAAGTCATAAGCCAACACACCTTGAGTTTGAACAAATCGGTTTGGTTTGGGGAGACAAACCTACGTGTGAACCGTCAGCATGATGAACAAATATTCGTGAGAGGATGCATCAAGCTTACATCTTAACCGATGTTGCTGGGGAAGAATTCAACAAATGTAAACTTGGATCCGTAGTTGTAACGCCAACACATACCGATACTGAGTGCTAAACGGCGCGAATTTTGTTCATCCTCTTTGCGAGAAAAGAAAGCAAACGACGTACCAAAGTTACCTATTGATACGAAAACCTAGAATAACGTGAGCTCGTCTTGATTGATGTGTCATACATCAAACACGCACTACGAGACACAACGGGGCCAAACGCCATCCATCCAGTTCTCCCCTGGCTTTATAGACTATAGAAAAAAGCATGAGCAGCGGTAGCATACCATAATTGGTAGAACGCTAACATCTCCGGAGACGATTCGAAAACGTGCTAAAGCACTGTCAGCTGCCATTCTCAATGAAAACCTAAGGGAAACGTACATTCTGACAATAGTGATCACAAGACCCTGCCCGAGGCATTTTTGTGAATTTATGCGTCGAGATCTTAAATTAATTTCATGGACGAACCATTTCGACTCCTAGCAGCTAACCGGAGACTGTGAGCGGCAACGCCTCAAACACAAGCTGAAGACGCACACAAACACTCCTGAATCGTTGTTAGAGGATGATGAAGCCAGAGAACGCATATACGCACCATGGAACCCTCAGCAGACCATATGGATTGAAAAAGTTCGTGATAGTGAAATAATACAGGGCGTGCAAGTCGGTCGCCAGGCAAAAACTGCACAACAACCTAAGTAAAGCACGTGTTATGGCAAATCACGCTTTTTGTGCGGAAAATCCCCACCAGAGGAGAAAAATCTAGGATGTGTAGGTTTTATGTGAATAGGGTGGTTCTGCAGAGGGATACAGGGCCTACAGTCACTCTGAATATGTTCGAGTCTGTGACGGGTCGCCGAAAATACTTCCACGCCATCAGGCAAAGAGCGCCGTACGATCTACGAACATACACCCACACAGTCAACATCGGCATCGTCCATCGTGTGTCAATCAATTTACATCGCCTGGAAGACCACACCGACCAACAAGGCGCCGATAGAGGCGTCGAAGATCTTCGCAGAGATCAACGGGCTGCTGACCTGGCTCATATTCCATGGGCTGTATGCGCAGGAAGGGCCGAGAAGACGGGACGAGGGCGTGGGTTGCGTTCAAGGAGCGTCTGCTTCACCCCTTCTCGCCTGCAAGACTGCACAACGTGCACGAGCAGACGCCAGATCTGACGTGCGGGAGCAGACGGTGGGAGGCAGCGCGGGCCCACCGTCATATTTGGCGCTCCCGCGCGGACGAGTCTCGCGGATCGAGGGCCGCATTCCCTATGTTGCGCTTTCTTCTAACAGCGTCTTCGGAAAGCGGGGCCTGGATACCTCACCTCCTGTGGTAGTGGTCAGATAGGGCAAAAACGGTGCTGTAAATCTCACGTTACCGGCGCGCAGAGGCTGATGGAAATAAGCGTGACTTAACCTTGCGACTCGCTGAGCAGAAAATCGAAGGCTGGGAATTTAAGCTTCTGGTTGTCACCAAGTTCGAGAGGCGGTGCGTATTGGGTCGAGCACAGGACCCACAAGCGTTTCGTGTAGATGTCGAATAATAATGGAAGGGAGCAAGCACGATCAGATGCATCCCAGAATGGCAGGTGCTCAGGTTCGTGCCGTTGTGGAATCCTCCTGTTGCAAAAAATTATAACCCCAACCGTGTCAGCTGAGACCGAATAACCTCAGAATCCAAACACCAACAGCCGATACTTCTCAAAAGTAATATTCAAGCATCGTCATTAACTAAGTACAACGTCCGTGAGCTTCCGACAGTGATATAGCATGCGGAATAGCAATAGGAACGAGTCCATGAGTCCGTGAAGGTCACACCGCCACCACTACCTCTCCGTCCTCACAATGCAAGTGTTAAAGATACAGCAGATGTTGAGTAACGTATACGCGCGTTATACTCAGCAAACGAGGGCACCAACAATCACCGCTGCCACAGCAGACAGCAGCACGAAGTTGGGTATGCGGTCGGTGCGCAAGGCACCGCTGCTCGTGCGATCGGTGTTCGGGACATCGGTCGCGCTCACCGAGGCAGGTGCAGAGCCGATAGTAGGACTTGGCGCCGCAGCGACTGCCCCGTTCATTGCAAGCGCAGTAGAAGACAGCGTTGCGAAACCGACGGAGGGCGGATTGTAGCGGAAGACCGAGTAGACGTTTTTCTGACCAAAGATGACTTAACTACCACGTAACAGTATGTGCAAAAATAACATACAAGGAATGTGTCGCCGACAATCCACGCAGGTGCGGTTGTGCCCGAGTTGTCGAGCTCGAAAACTGCTCCGACACACGTGGTAGGGTCGTTCTGAAGGGGCTGGAACTGGAAGTCGGCAGGTGAGACGGGCCATGCGTTCGAGCTCGAGCCGAATTTAAATGTCAGCTCCACTTGAGTATCGCAGGCTATGGGTAGGAGTGAATATACAATTTAAGATGATAAAGGTGTCAGGCAGCGCACGGTATGTGTAGTAACCTTCCATGTCACCGGTTCCTGCCTGACTGCCGGGGATTTGGGCATAGATCTCGGAAACGACGTCTGCCGGGCCACCAATGAGCGTGGTACCTGTATCAATAGCTGCATACGATGCCGAGCCCGACTCCAGGGTGACGGATTTGCCCTGGGAGGTGATGGCTGCAATAAGGTCGTTCATTAACCTGAGCCAGCCCCAAATTAGGCGTCGTCAATGAACAAACTCACCAGCGATCTCCTGAATCCAGTAGCCGATCTGTCCAGATGGGATATCCTGAAAGTCGACACTGCCTGTGAACAAACTCGAGTTCATCGCACCCAGCGTGAACGTTCCTCCAGGTTCAAGTTCCTGTGCGCGGGAGTCGTTGTTGTACCGTGTCAACTGGAAGGAGAATAATTGTTCCGTGAGTGTACCATTGCTCTCTGCCAGGGATTCCCAAAAGGGCGTTGCACCGGAAGACGCGATCTGTTGGTATGCCATGCCCATCAAACCGGAAACAGGAGCGCTGAGCACGTCACTCGACACTTCATCGACTACGGCAAAGGTCTGAGACATGACCTCGAAACCAGCCATCTGCACAGTATCTTGTCCGAGAGTGCCAGCCGCTTCTCCTGAATCGTAAGTGATCTGGAACGGCGTGCCGGACGACTTGAAGGATGACGATGACGACGGCTTAAACATGTTGATACCCGCAGGAATACTGCTGGTGCCGTTGCCCTGCGAGGCCAACCAGAGGTCGCTGCACGCATACGCGAGGTGAGAGGTATCAGCGGCCGCAAGCCAAGAAGTACGTACGAAGATCCTGTGTCCAAAATGACATCAAACGAGACCGGTGGCGTACCCACGGCTATTGAGCCAAAGAAGCTGTGTGAACATAGGTGAGACATGCCATCGACCGGTCAAAACGACTGCTCACGTCGAGTCCGCGCCCTGGTTAGTAAGTCTGGACAACAACGGTAAGACAATGGGCATCACAGATGTAAGCAGTGGCTCACGCGTTCATTCCACTTGTGCGTTTGCGATTCTTGGCGTGACCAATCCCGTACTTTTGCTCCACTGCCAACTTGCGAGCCCTCAACGACGCCGCTTGACCCTCCGTACCGCGTGACGAAACCGACCTACGCGACAAACTGATCGACTTTCCGGGGACGACGTTGATGGAGGGGACGGGCGCAGCAAAGGCCTCGGGGACAACAGAGAGCAGACATGTGACTGCAACGGAGAAGGGGAGAAGGAGCATTATGACGGAGGTTGAAGAGAAAAAAAGGCACAGAGCGAGTAATATTAAATAAGAGTTGAGCGACTTTGGAGCGCGAAAGATGGACCTGGAGTAAAAGGACGAGAGCTGCGCACTGCGCGTCCGAACGGGCGAAGTCGGATTACAGATGGAGCGTGTAAATCGTCACCCCGCGCTGCGGATCTGTACGGCAGACGGCCGAGGACAAACAAGCCAGCTGCCTGGGCAGAAAAGGTGGCAAAGGGAAGGGGAAAGCTGTGGATAGCGGGAGGAGGCAGAGCAGAAAAGGCTGGATGACCCGCCTGACAAGCGAGAGCCGCAGCACAGCGACCGTTGCCAGTCCCCCGCATAGGCCCGGCATCTCGGCCTTTGCCCAGATTTGGCAACTCCCCTGCATTGCTTTTCAGACCGCGCAGTCGCTTCCGATTCCTGTGCACTGCCCTGCCGAGAGCCTACCGTGCATCTGGGAACAAAATGACACCAGCGAGACCTCGTCACAGCGCAGGCAAAACCTACAGCGCAAAATTCATGCAGTCGAATTGTAGACCCAACAGGCGAATGACTGATTGAATCCGAGCCGACGCACAGTATGGTGGCACAATCACTCGAAGCTGTGGCCAGCGCGCAACGATCTGATTGAGATCTTTCTTCTTGCTGTCAAGGCACACTGCCATTTCAATAATTGTGAACGCGATGCGCACGCTGCGGACCTTCCACAGGTAATGGGACACACATAGGCCACTACTGTCCGCCTCGCCAAATACATACCACATACCTATGTACATTTACGAGTCTGTACATGCAATAGATTTCGACAATGTTGTCCGAGATCCTTATCGGAAAGTGACACGAATTAATAATCAGGCTGGGGTCAGTCGAACGGATAAGCGCCGACAGCGTTTGGATCGTCGACATCAACAACTATCTTCGAGTGCACACCGGAGCCACATGGAAAACATGAAAGAAAATGCAGGATTGATCCCCTTCCACTACAAAGGCGAGACTTACCACACATGGTACAAAATCGTTGGAGATCTCCATTCCGGCGCGACCCCACTCGTCACTCTCCATGGTGGTCCTGGGGTATCTCACCATTACATGCTCCCGCATACCGACCTAGTAGCTCTGCACAAGATCCCAGTCATCTTCTATGACCAGATCGGCATAGGTGCGTCGACGCATCTCCGCAATAAGCCAGCTGAGTTCTGGACGCCCGAGCTATGGATGGATGAGCTCGAGAATCTCCTGGCATACCTCGGGATCCAGGATGCCTTCGATATCGTCGGAAACTCATGGGGAGGCATGCTCGGTGGGCAGTTCGCTGGCGTCCGACGCCCGCCAGGCCTCAAGCACCTGGTTGTCGCGAATGCGGGAGCATCCATGGAGTTGTGGCAGATTGGTACCAAACAGCTGCTCGAGAGGCTAGAGCCGGAGGAGGTAAGAGAGACGATCAAAAAGCATGAACGAGAGGGGACTGCGGGCAGCGAGGAGTGGCGGAAGGCGATGGAAGTGTACAACCGAAAGCACATTTGCAAGGTAGTGCCGTGGCCAGAGGAACTTTTGATGTCTTTCGCATCTGGGGACGAGGACCCCACTGTCTACGCCACCACGTATGACTTTATCTTCGATTCTGACGAATTCGCTTAGGTTGCTGACTGTAATGTCCTTAGAATTGGTCCCTCCGAATTCAACATAGTCGGTACCTTCAAACACTGGTCTATCGTCGACGTAGTCGGGAATATCACAGTTCCAACGCTCCTGATAAACGCACGTGACGATTCCGCCCAGGACATAGGATTGATCCCGTTTTTCGAGAAGGTTGCGCGCGTCAAGTGGATACAGTTTGCCCATAGTTCACATACCCCCTTGTTTGAAGAGAGGGAAAGATACATGGAGATTCTAGGCAATTTCCTGACGAAGACGGTTTAGGGACGGGCAGCACGTCTGCTTGTGAATTTGCGAAGATTCGTAAATCTTTCGCACGTTTTTATAGCGTAGGATAGGGAACCTCACCCGTCGCTTCTCGTGAATTAATTACTGTAGACTGACGAGAGATCCTTGCATCTTGAAACAATGTTCGGACTGTGTCGGACCTCTGAGTAAGCAGGTTTTACAGTTCACTCGAAGGGATGCGCCTTATTCGTGGGGAGGAGGGGGAACTAGTAGTCATCGAGCACCAAGATCCCGATAGGAGGGGCGGATCGGGCGCCGCGGGAGGTCGTGCCCAGGATGCGGGATGGGGATAGCGGGACAAGGTCGTAGACCCGTTCCGAGGCAACAAATACGCCCATTCTCTAACGAAATCATCAAGTCAAATTCAGGATATTAGGACGCCATTAGACCTCTCGTCTATAAGCGCGAGCTTGGCTCGTTTCAGTATATGGATCTTAGAAGACTTGCCAGTCGGATTACCACCTAAGGAGCCCTCGCCACAGGTTGCATCTTCATCCCGGGTAGGCGCTCTAATAGAGGACTGCGCTATCTCGTCCTCTGCCGTCTCTCTTGATTCATCCTTACCGTACGAAGATTCATTGGGCCATTTATACCACCATGCAGACAACACGTTCCTAATCTTCATCGTGTGCTGAACGTCATGATACACCTTGATGTGATCCACAGCGGACAATGCAGCGGCCCTGTACATGCCACTGTCGCTAGTAACAGTGCCTCCATAGGCGGTTGAACCGCTCTCGGGAGCATGCCCTGGCTGATGAGCGTCCCTTGAAGATATTCTAGTTCTGTGAACTGGAGCCGCATGGAACGATAGAGAGATTGGGCCCAAGGTGCACGCTTCACGAAGTGACAAGAGGAACCACCAGAAGTCCAACAGGGCATCGTGTGTCCAGTTAATTTCATCTATTGTTGAAGAATTTACATGGTCCACCTTCCGCGATGGGCCACTGGGTAATACAACAAGTCCCTTGAATACGCCCGAATGCGACCGTTCTTGAGATCCAGGGTCCGACGCTAGCATTGTTGCCGGAGTGCATCCATCCCATAACAATCTGCCTCGCACTGGAACAATCCAGGAGCCCCTAATAAAAGGGTCGCACAGGAAGTCAGTAACTGTCTGCGCTGAATGCGGTGGTATGGGAATATGCTTTGGAATTTTGTACAGCATGGGCGGCGGGTTTAGGAGACATGATCCGTGAGCATCAGAAGGAGAAGAATGAAAGTGAGGCTGTAAGGATGCAAGGCAGCGTCAGTCTGGCTGTGCGCATAGGACATGAATCATAACATACCTCAGGTATCACTTTGTAAAGCGACGTAGCATCGCAACGAGGGCGTTTCCTCGCAGGTTCACCATCTATGGGAGCTTCATTAGCACTTCGCCCATGAACCTTGCCTACAATAAGTTCGCCTCGGGTCGCAAACGTAGTGTCTACAGCTGCATTTATATGTTGGGGGGAATGCTGAGGTTCCAGAATGCACCTCTTCGTGAGTTCGACATCACAATGTTTAAAGCCATGAGGAGAGTGCCTAGGCTCCACGGTCATACTTCGCGTAAGGACAATGTCGGTATGTTCAAAATCCTCGAGATCCTTTAATTCGAAGGTGTCTGAACCAGTCTCAAGGAGTGTCTCATAGAGATCATCGGCCCAGTCTCTGAGCATAGCCGACTTTGCCAAGGTAGACAAGTTTTCAGGATGCAGTAGCTTGGGTGGCTCCTGAGAAAAGACGTGAGCGTTTCTCTGATTGTCTGATGGAAATATCAGCATGGTATATACGGGATGCAGACCGACATACCAAAGCTGCTTAGGTCGAATGGGTCGTCTGGTGTAAACCAATCAACTCCACCTGAGGCGGTCCTTGTTAACCGAATCCCATTGCTAGCAATATATTGTGAAGATAGTGCTGCTGAATCTTGGTAATCGAAATGATGTACTGTCACTTGCTCACAACCCTGCCCCATGCCAAACGGTGATCCAAGAAGGCTATACGATGGGAGTACTCCAACGAATGACCCAGGGACAGCTTGTGCATGCTGCGTAGAATGGGATTCGTCATGACGAAGGGATTCCCAAAAAATATGATCAAGATCAGTATGCTCGAATTCGTCCAGGTCTTGCGTGGCGACAACGCTAGTTCTGTCTGACGCATCTGTCGCATAGTCCCATTCCCTCAAATCATTACGCTCATCAGAACTTCCGAGATGCTTGTTTATGTCGCTCAGTTTGGGCACACCTTGGCTATAGACGTAGCATGGACCTCGAACGTCTGGCTCATAATTGTTGAGTATATGCGCGTAAGTCATACCTCCATAGCGCACCAAATGTTATCTCTGAAGAAATTGTCGCTGGTTGGTGCCATATTTCGCCCTGGGAAGCAGTCGAAACCAGGTTGGAACCTAGCTGCAGTATGTCTTGCGATGACCCAGGCCAACTGGGCTCCGCGTGAGTAAAGTAATGAACCACGATGTCGCTCTCGGCGTTGTGTCCTAGCAGAACGTTCATGCTTATGCATAGCAAAGCTCGCAAGGAAATGAACAGTAGTTGTAATTGGCGGTCAGTTAAAGGAACTTGAGAAAGCGACCTACTTGTCACGTGTATTCAAGCAAATTCGCTGAGCGCCCGTCCTCTGGCTTTTAACACCAGTTCAGGCCTGAAGACATCCGTCTCGCCCATACCGTCACCACGCGAACATGACACGAAGCAAAGTTCGTCTCTTTTATCTCTTATTAAAAATCTCAACTATAAGTTTTCAATAGAAAGCAGGCCGCCGCGGTCGGGGAAGGGGAAACGCGCCTGCAACCTCCGGCGATCGAGGTGCAGATGGCTGGAGGACGGATGTGGTAGAAACGGTCGACATGCACAACGAGCGTTTCGAGAAATATTACAAGGCGCAGAACATTGTGCGGGATGAAGAGTGGGAATCATTCATGCAGTCGTTGAGAGATCCCCTTCCCACCACGTTCCGGGTAGCCGGAAGCCGACAGTACGCTCAAATCAGCGCATATATGCGTGATACAATTCACTGACATGACCTGACTATTGACGCACAGAGCTGCTCGCTTGTTGAATGACACTATCGAGGATACCTACGTTCCTCAGCTTGCTGATGTTGTCTTTGAAGGGGAAGCTGTTTCTCCTCCTAAACAAATTCCATGGTATGTTTTACATTTTGGAGTTTGTAGAATTTATTTCATAGATCCCCAGGTATCCAGAAGGTCTCGCATGGCAGTTTGACGTCTCAAAAAAGGTGTTGCGCAAATCTCCCGAATTCAAAAAGTTTCATTCGTTTCTTGTCTTCGAGACCGAGGTGGTAAGTCGGTCCATAATCTCTTGAAACCAGTTCCCTCAATGATCATCATTACAAGGGTAATGTATCTCGCCAGGAAGCTGTAAGCATGCTGCCACCACTATTCCTAGAAGTTGAACCTCATCATCGAGTGCGTGTTCTGGTGTTGAGTCCGTGGTTTGTAGGGCTAATTTTGACGGCAAGGTTATGGACATGTGTGCCGCTCCAGGATCAAAGGTAAGGGGCCCCTCCTTTGTTTTTCATTGCGCTCATCGACAAAGACCGCACAACTTCTGGAAGCTCTTCATGCACATGACACCGCGACAGCCTCCTCATATCCAACTGGGCTGCTGATAGCAAACGACAGCGATCATAAACGTACCCACCTTCTCATTCATCAATCTGCCCGTCTCCCGTCTCCCGCACTCATGGTCACGAATCACGATGCATCAATTTACCCCGCCATCAAGATTCCATCCGAGCAAGTTATCTTTCCTTCGGACACGAAGCCGCGCGTGGCCGCCAAAAAGCAATATCAGCTTCTGTTTGATCGTATCCTATGCGACGTCCCATGTAGCGGCGATGGAACTATCAGAAAGAACCCGGGAATATGGAAGCATTGGCAACCAATGGATGGGAACGGTTTACACAGGTCTGTTATCTTTATCTAAAATTTTGTAATACTGGACTGTCTCATCCCATACAGTTTGCAGGTTCGAATACTCCAGCGGGCGATGCGTATGCTGAAGAAAGGTGGCCGTATTGTGTATTCGACATGTTCTCTCAATCCTGTGGAGAATGAGGCGGTCGTAGCGGCTGCTCTGAGATCAATTCCCGGTTCGTGTTTATGTCTGACCGTGAACATTCGAGGAGTTGTGAACCAATGTCCTTTGATATCAAGATTTTGAATTGCTCGATATGTCGAATCACCTATCAGGGCTCATTCATCGCCCTGGTATAACCTCGTGGATACCGACTGTAGATCGTGCGATCAAAACTGATTTCGCTACATTTGCGGACTATCTGCAGTCACTACCAGAAGATAAGCGTGCTGAGAGCAAGATGATCGAGTCGCACTGGCCGCCCCCGGCGAATGAAGTGGATAATCTGAATCTTACTCGTTGGTGCGCCTATAATTGGTTTTTCACAGACTGGGGATTGATAAATAGAGCATCTTGTAGTATACGAATATATCCTCATTTACAGAATACTGGTGGATTCTTCATTGCGGTGTTGCAAAAGGCACGTGCGATCGTTGCCCTTCAGACTGCTGTAAGCCAAACATCACAGAAGTAAGATTTGGGATGTTTAGCTAGGTGGTTTTTGTTAACAGATTTTAGGGATGGCAAAAGACATGCAGAGGAGGTTGACGACCTCGACACTTCAGACGCGAAGAAGGCCAAAATTGCGGAGGAGCAACATGTCTCTTTAAAAGACGATATAATTATACAACGAATCGGAATTGATGAGGACGATGAAGTTGATACGACTGAGGCAAACGGTCCTATATCTGCTATGGATGTCGACCAGAAGCTGGAGATCGCATCTGAGGTCTCCCCTGACCAGTTCAAGCAACAGCAAAGTCGCAAGGGAAAGGGCAAGTCCTCAGAGGGCGGGACGCACTTCAAAGAGAACCCGTACACATTCGTCGCGCCAGATGACCCCATTATCCAAACTTGCATGTAAGATCACGATACGTGTCCCTTCGTTTACTGAAACTTGCGTAAAGATCCAAGCTTCACCTCAAGCCCGACTTCCCCGCGTCTAACATGCTTGTTCGTAACCCTGCAGGCGATCCGGTCCGCTCGCTCTACATGACTAACGATATCGTCAAACACATCGTAATGCACAACGACTTCGCCCGAATGCGACTCATGACTTGTGGTACGAAGGTGTTCGCAAAGCAGGAAGGAGCCGAAGCGAAGAGAGAAGGTGCGGAGATGCAGTTCCGCGTGCTCAGCGAGGGCTTGCCCGTTGTTCTGCCGTATATCGATCCCCAAGCGGTACTTCCAGCGGATGTCACAGCGCTGAAGACATTCATGCAGGCATACTATCCGTTATGCTCTAGTTTTGGTGACCCGTTCAGATCCCTCATCGAGTCGAAAGGTCAGTTATATTACAACATCGTGTCGTATCCGTATCTCATCAAACTTAGCCCCCGGCAGCTATATAGTCCGCTTCGAACCGGGGCAGGCAGCAGGTGCAACGTGAGGGTGTTCTCATAACACCCTATCACCATTTTATTGACTATTAACCAAAATTTAGATTAGTACACGATCTCGTTTTGCCCATTTGGAAGTCCACTGTGTCCGCCACCTTGATGCTCGACAAGAAAGCAAAGAGGTGCTCTTCTACTACACAATTATTCTTGGTTGCTCATCATTATGCAGTGCTCTCAGCTTGAGATTATGCGGAGAAGATATCACGACAGCTGCTCGAGATGCGGCTAAGAAAAAGCAACAGGAGCAGAGACCCACACCCACGGAAACATCTGCTCTCGATGGTAACACTGAAACTGAAGGGTAACCCCTCCCTCACATGCGTTGACCAATATTCTATGGCACCGCCAACTTAGAAGATAGCATCCTCACCGACGCCGCAGACATCAAAATGTAATCTACGACCACAGCGGAGATAGAAATTAAAGCGAACTTGCAGTACATATAATACAACGAATATACAATGCGTCTTCCATGCTCGGTCTCTATGCAAAAGTACAAATCATGTTCTCTCGCCGCGCAACCGACGAGCCAATGCTAGGTCTTTAGGCTGGATGGTGACTCGCTTCGCGTGAATGGCAGCAAGGTTAGTGTCTTCGAAAAGCGAGACAAGATATGCTTCTGCCGCTTCTTGAAGAGCCATAACCGCAGACGATTGGAAACGCAGGTCCGTCTACGAACGGAAATAAGCAAATCGAGGTGACCAGAATAGAATAACGCAGATGCCCACCTTAAAATCTTGAGCGATTTCACGGACTAGCCGTTGGAACGGCAATTTACGGATAAGGAGTTCAGTCGATTTCTGATACCGGCGAATTTCACGCAGGGCAACAGTTCCAGGGCGGAAACGATGAGGCTTCTTCACACCGCCAGTCGTAGTCTAGAGACACGGCTGAGAATGTTATTCTTGGTAATCACAAGACGAACTTACTGCTGCTGCTGTCTTGCGTGCAGACTTTGCAGCGAGCTGCTTACGAGGTGCCTTACCTAGAACGAAAGGATGAGTCTATATACTCAACCTACTCGTGGATGGACTGCTTGGCACTTACCACCTGTAGACTTGCGAGCGGTTTGCTTAGTGCGGGCCATTGTGCGAAAAACAAAGTATGACTGGGCTAATTGATGAAAGGGTGCGGGCGGCGACGAGGGACCGGCGAAGTATGTGAGTACGGTGGCCAAACGTAGGGCGGCTACTTATATACGCGAGCGCTTTGACGCGACGCGATGGCTCACGTGCCGCGAATCACAATTCAACACAATAAGGTTTGCATCACGTGCGCGTTTAGGCGAGCCACAGACGCGTTGTATAAGTACTCAGGCTAAACGCCTTCAACCACCCACTTGCATTCTGCATAACTGCCTATCTCAGCTCCCTTACATCCTCTCAATCTTCAACAAACTTCAAACTCCCTAACAAGTCTCATAAAAAATGTCTGGCCGTGGAAAAGGTGGAAAGGTAAAGAATATCCCCTGCGAAAAGTTGAGTGCGTATTTACCAAATACGCGCTGTAGGGTCTCGGAAAAGGTGGTGCTAAGCGTCACCGTAAGATCCTTCGCGACAACATTCAGGGTGCGTCTTTTGATCTTAAATGAACTTTCTTCGACTGAAGTCATTCTCTGTCAGGTATCACTAAACCCGCTATTCGTCGATTGGCCCGTCGTGGTGGTGTAAAGCGTATCTCCGGTCTCATTTATGAAGAGACCCGTGGTGTTCTCAAGATCTTCCTCGAAAATGTGCGCGTGCTTTGTCCATTGTTCAACTATTGCTCACTGAATGCCCTATATAGGTCATCCGTGATTCAGTAACATATACTGAACACGCCAAGCGGAAAACTGTCACCGCTCTTGATGTAGTTTATGCTCTAAAGCGATCAGGGAGGACCCTATATGGTTTCGGTGCATAGACGCATTATCCTCTGCTATTATTGTATTATTGTATCAATTTAATGTAGTGTATTTATTTCTTTGTGCGCAATTTACGAGATTTTAAATTGTATCTTGTCGGGGACTTGATTTGGTGGCAGAATATGGGTACTGCTCCAGTGCATTCTTTCTGCTTACATCTTAGGACGAGGAATCTTTTTTGTTATTCGAGGATTTCATGGTCCTCAATACTACAATACGTACGCATCGCGTCATGTATGTACATTTCACTAGTATGTTGTCGCCATCGCAGTTCTTCCCCCTACATCAATCACACCACATCTGGCATAGTACCTCGCAAGAGCTAGACGTACAGTCTGCAATCGTTGAAGCGCAGCTGCCTCCTCACCGCTTTTGGTAGTTCTTGCAAGCACTGTCAAGTAATCAGCCTTGGAGCCTTGTCCTGATCGTATACAGATCTCCTCGAGCTTGTGCAGGAGCAGACACGCGTCCTGAGACGAGAATAACATGGTCTCGCCTAAAGGAAAGATCTAAGTCAAACAGGACATAGGAAATTACAGCGGAGACTTACTATTTAAGAGTAGCTCCACGGCATCAGAAAGTAACACAGCCCACCACGACTTCGGCGCAATATCCTCTCGGAACATTGTGGCCAAATCAAAGGCAGCATCGTGCAATTCGCCTTGCATCCGCCTCTGGTGGAACTCGGCGAAGCGCACCGCAAACATCAGACGATGAACGAACACGCCGTTGGCACCCGAGTTCGACCGCAGCGTCTGTAGCGACGGCGCAATATTTGCCACGTAACGCGCATACTTCTCAGGACCTGAATTGTATGTATGGTAAATAGTGTCTGATATAAATGGAAGAATGATGATGAAAAGCATAAGAATCACCTTGAACGACGTATTCATCCAGCACGCGATCGACAATACGTCCGAGGCCGGTCCAATCCTCCGCAGACACGCAATATGACACTGCAAGCCCATAATCTTTCTCTTGCAAGAACGTCTGAGCCGCGATTCTGCACACTATCCGCCGCACTTTCTCTCTTTGATGCTCGAAGCAAGTCGCGTTGATCTCTTTCAACACCCCAGCAAGGTTCCCTGTACGTATTCGTGCGCTCTCCTCGTCTGACGCCGTCGCATCTTTAGGAATTTGGAGCCGTAACGGCACTCGCATGAGTACTTGGTCCGCTGTCTCCTTGCCGACGTCACCGCAAGCACACATATAGTCCACTGTGATTCGCCACAATGCAGGATCCGAGCGCAGATACTCTGTATACGACAGAACATACTGCTCCCGCAGCGTAAGGTCTGAGCTTGATGGCGGGACGTTTCAGCGGGCAGAAAAATCTCAATGCTTTGAAGACTACTCACTCGTCTGGGTCGTCATCTATGAGCTGCAAAGGCTCTAAGACATCGGCGAGATGAGCTGCGAGCCAGACATCGATCTGGGCAGCGTCCGATAGTGCCTGGGCTGGACTACCGAGGAATAGCGACGAGTGCATCATGTCCTCAAGGTTCGTCGGGTCAGATGGCATGTCATCCAAGATATGCGATACGACCTCACTGGAATGAGATGTTAGTCGCCGTTGTCCCAAAGGTCCGAGCACAAAGACACTCACGGAAGGTCCTGTCTGCGCAGTCTAGGGTCCACGAAGATACCCCACGCAATACATACCTCTTTCCAATCGGCACCCAACTCGAGGCACAACTTTTTAATGACCTCCACACGTCCCTCCAAGATCCCAGCGATGTCGCAGAGCCGGTCCCACCAATTCTCGAACCCGTCTTCTCGGTCATCCTCTGGGACCTTGTCCAACTCCAGCCGGAGACTCTTCACTTTGTCTCTCCATCTCCGAGCCGCGATCGCAAAGTCGCGCTCTGCAGCGAATTGGTGCAGGCGGGGATGGCCCGTAAGCAGAGGAATGAGCTGCTGTGACAGCTTCTGGAGAGTTGGAGACGGATGCCTGGCGAGCACGTCAAGGAAGAAAGATGAAGCTTTCGAGAGCCCTCGGATAGTTGCCCTTGTCGGAATGAGTGGGTAAGTCACAAATGACGTAGCATACAGGTTCACCGACCTCGTCAGATATGGCCAAAATGTCTCGTCTTCCCATGGCCTCTCAAGGCTACTGAGATGATCACCCTCTTCCGTGGTTGGCTCCACGTAATGCGTGTTAAGCCACTCCATGAGCTCTTCTCCCACTGGAGCGTGCTCTCGTCCATGGTCGGGTAGATACAACACAGAAAAAAGGGAGAAGCACGTGTAGAGTTTTCGATAGTGTTCTGCGTTGTATTGTAATGGTTCGGAGCGCGCTATTGGTTGCTTCATAATGGGGGGTCAATGGTTCCGCCTTATGCGAGAGACAACAAGAGCTCACAGAACAGTAGATACAGCATTCTTTACAAAAGTTGATATAATCAGTTACGAGTTTGCTGATCGCTTTTACACATTCCTCATCATCTAACCTAGTGACGACTTAGAAAGTGTCCAACTATTGCGATAGAAGACTCACATTTTGATCCTCTCTCGACGAATGCGCTGTACAAGATTTTGCATTGCAGCGAAAATGATAGATGTGTCTGTCACAAACTATATGCACAATTGGGATAGCATAAATGATGCAAAATCTAGGCACACACCAGTCTCCGCTCCGAGGTAGGTGCATGATGCGATTTGGCGAGGTAGACGCGTTGATCCGACGAGGACGACGCGTCTTGCATACGCAAGCCATTTGGGTCTGCCTTCAGCATGATTAGCACACGTTCTACAACGCAGCTCGAAAGAACAGACATTGTGTGTCGCGTAAATAGCCAGTGTGTCGTCTCTTGGTGAGAAGTTGGCGGCGAGAACGCGATGAGAGTGTTTGAAGTCGTCGCTGCGTCCTCGTTCAAATATGGGCGGCAATAATGCCACAAATTGAGGCTCCTCTTGCATGTTCGTCCAGATGCAGCCCAGTCACAGAGCAGTTGAGTATATGCAAGTCGCGTCGATAGGCAAAATGAACGCGCTCGCCACATCAATCCCAGTCTAATTTCGCGCGCCTTGTTCTGAACACCGACACCCAGATTAGGAAGCTGTAGTAATTGCCACCGGTTTTGAAAGCCAATAAAGCGCTGAAGAAATATCATCGACTTTTCGTTCCGCTCGAGCCGTAACACTCATTTGGCACGTTAGTAAATTTTATTGGAAGAAAAAGCCGCATTATTTAAATAACGTGCAGTGCTAGTGTAAAAGCTAGAAGT